GGGGGGGGCCCGCCGCTCGTGCAGGGTGGGGATGCCCTGGACCGATGGGGGCTGGCAGCAGGCACAGCGCCCCGGGAGGCGAGGCAGCGGGGCTGGCAGGGGACGTGCCCGGGGGTCAGAGCACGCTCTGCGCGAGCGACGTCAGGACGGTGCTGCGGTTGTCAGCGGGGTGACCCGGGGGCGTGAGACGAAGCTGAGCCTGGCAGCGAGAATGAATCCTGGGTGCTGGAGGCATGCGGGGTAGCCCAGAGAGAGAGGATGCGTAGGGATGCTGCCTTTCAGCGGAAACCCCAAATTTTGCAGTGATGACTGTGGCTATGCCGTGGCTCTGCGGCCAGGTTAACCTCCCGGGTGCGAGCGTGCATCTCCCACAGGGATTGCCCAAGTGGAAGCGTGGGCTCTGCTGGGAGCGCAGGAACCCCCCCCGCTGCCCGGCTGGAGGAGGAAGCTCTCGCGCTGCCGTGGCCCACGTAACCCGCTCGCCTGCCGTGCGATGGGGGTTTAACACCCCCGTTTTGAGGAGTCAACATGGCAAAACAAGGGTTATTTGGAGGGGGGCTCTTCCTTGCCAGGTGTTAAAATACTGACAACTCCTGTCAAAGGATCCTTTCATGTAGACATTCCCGGGCAGCCCTCAACACGCCTGGGAAATAAAACTGCTCTGGAAGAGCAGAGGTGCATTATGGCAAGTTCTTTGGTAACAAATTCTCTCATTATACCATGTTATGACACGGATAAATCTCTGTTAAATAGCAGAGCGATTGCCCCGCAGGGAGAAAAGCTGCTGCTCAACGCAGGCATGCCTCCACTGATAACCTTATCGTGTCTTAACAGCTCCAGGATTGCCTTCAAAGATCCTGCCACAATAACAAACCCTTCTTTTAAGGAACTGCACGCTGATAACTCGGTGCTGAGCCGAGCAGGCGCCGCTGCTCCTACACGGTTCTCTGTATTTGCTAATAATCTGCCCCACGTGCATCTCCGTGCAGGGCCGGGCTACGTAAGCTGCTGTACCGGTACCGTAGCAGCCACCGCTGAAGTGTGCACCCCCGGCTCACAGCGAGGACAACGGCGCCGCGCTTTCCTCGACCGCGAGACGAGGCCGTTGCAAAGGGGAACCCAGGAGACCAGAATGCCGGTGTTCAATCACACGGACTTGGGCTTGGACTGGGTGACCTCTAGGGGTCCCTTCCAACCCAAAACATTCTATGATTCTCTGATTCTATGGACTAGCGCAGCCCCTCGCTGCTGCGTGCTCCTCTTCTTGCCGCGGCCGCGGTTCTGCTGCTAAGGGCGAACCTCAGGGCTGTTCACCCGTGTCCCCCCCGTCCTGTGGCATTCGGGCAAGCTGGCCTCTCGAAACGTCACGCGT